ATGCCATTCATATGCTAACTAAAGGCATTTTGCCTCTTCTCACCTGGGCACTGGGGCAGTGCTGGTGTAGGATCAAAGATTACTCGGGGAAGCCTTGGCCAAAGAGTGAGTTTGGATGAACAGTGACCAGATGAACAAGAGTTGTTCTCGAGAGAGAGGAACTTCTTGTCGCTGTCCTTTGCTTCCATAGTTCGTTCTGTTCTGTGTAAGCAAAAAGCAGTGTTTGTTGGAGTGACGTGCACCAGGAAAACCACAGCGAACCTTTAAGGGAAGTGAGCTGTAGTGACATCTGATAATACAGATGACAGATTAATACACAGTTCTGTCCCGTTCGAACTTCAGCTTATTGTCATGGACCACGGTTTTTAAAAACAGCTTAATACAGTGGGGAAGTGCTTGAGGATAGGTTTAGGATTTTGATTCTCGGAGGTAAGAACAGCACAGCCTTTCCTACTGATATTAAAAACTGCTCGTATTTATGTAACAGGGATACTGGATGCTATTTTGGCAGTACAATACAGAAGGTGCTTTTCTTGGCCCAGAGGAGACAGACATTTAGTGTTATGGTAAGAGGTGTGTATCAAGTTCAGAAAAGAGCTAATAACGGAAAAATCTCCAATTACTATTTTTTTAATCCAATTTTGGAAGAATGAAACACAATCTCCGGTTGGTTGGTCTCTTGTTCTTCATTCTTGCTCCCATGTTCTGAAGTTTGGAGTTTTATTTGAGCAAACATGCAATTACAAAAAAATTTCTTGTAGAGTGGCCCAATGCACGTGACAAAGATGGCCAGAAAATGTTAAAAGTGGTGAAATTTCAACAACATCAAAATGTGTGAAGGGTGTGACGGTGTAAGTGTTTTTCTCAGCTGTCCTGGAAAACTGAACTGAGTAAAATCAACCTTTTTTTTTTAAATCTGACCAGTGAGATGGCCTCTTGACTATCTAGGCCTGTTCTATCTCGTACAACTTCCTGAGCATCTTGCTGGGATTATGGCGCAATTCATCTGAGCGTTTCAGGAGCACGTTATGAGGCCGCGGTGCACTTTCTTGCCTTGGCTGAAGATGCGTACGTGGGGCTGTGTTGACGCACCAGGACACGCCGCGGGACGCGCAGTCCGCCGGG